AAGTGTGAGGATGGGGCATCTTCTGCATCCACCACAAACAGATTGTTTTAGCTAAAGAGCTTTATTTCTCCATACAATTTATAATGATATGTTATAATAATGCAATGATATAATATTAATGCAGAGTGAGTGAACTTCAGTTTTTGGCCATGCAATATAGACAGTGTTTACTTGACTGTACACTTTATAATGCATTCGCTTTATTTATTTGTGTTATTACTTTCTGAAAACAATGTATGTCCAAGTAATGAAGTGAATTCCAAGCATAAAGAAGTAAACTTAAAAATTACTCAAAAATGTGACTTAAAATATACTACAACTTCAGATTATTTAGTAATGTACTTTGAAAGTATGCTTTCAATGCATTGTTACAATGATCATTTTCAGCACACAGTTAAAAAATATATTTAAGTAAAGTGCAAATAAATATTCTCAATATAAATATATTCAATTCAAGTATATTTTTGTAAAATATATTTTTAGAAAATATACTAAATTACAATTGTTTTAAAGTGTGTTAAAAGTTGTATTGTGAAAATAGACAAAAGCATGATGCTAATATGCTTTTTATATATTTAAAGATAGTCAATTTTTTGTTAGTATATTTGCAATGTACTATTAAAACAGGTAATATATTACAAATACAATAAAGTATACTTTTTTTCACTAGGGATAGTGTGCAGCACAGTATGGGTATCAGTACCCTGCTAAAAAATAAATAAAAAAAATAACAGAAACCATCACAGAAATTCTTATGGTTTCCATTAAAACAATTACAAAATTCCTTTTTGTAGTGTTTTGGGCATTATTCCAATATGAATTACTGTTGTTCTATTGTTTCCCATCTGCTAGATTACATATCACCAATAGAATCCATCAAATACCAGTAGACACCATTATAGTTTACATTAAATTCCAAAAGGTACATCTGGAAAAAGGGGGGGTCGTCTTATAATCAGGGTCGTCTTATATTCGGGCCAATACAAAGTAGAAGTGCTCACTAACACAGATTTAGACAGATTTGTGAACAATATTTGAGAGAAATAGGCCTTTTTTGTACATAGAAAAAGTCTTAGATCTTTGAGTTCAGCTCATGAAAAATGGGGGCAAAAACAAAAGTGTATATATACAGTATATATATATATATATGTATGTATGTTGTGTTACGTTAGTGTTGAAGTGAAGTTAAATTAAACATGTTTTGATTAAAGGCATGCTGTTTTACTTGGACACTATAGCCCAAGATCCCATGCACATTTTTTCGTTATTCCTTGTTTTCCCGTTATCTTACCTTAATTTTCTTTAGGCCTAAGTCATTCAACATTTTCTTCAACATTAAATGACGTGGAGAACCGGTTATTCTTGGGCTATATTCTGGTCCTCAAGGTCCACTTTCCTGCAGAGTTTAGCTCCAACCCTAATCAGTTGAGAACCCCTTATTTTAAAATTTGATGTTCTCCTCCTGAGCATCAGAAATTATTACACCTATTATAATTGTATTTTTTTGTTTTATAACCCCTGCTCTAAACCATCAGCCATTTCAACAGAGGAATGAAGGCTGTGATGTTAACGTTGCCCACTAGAGGAAGCCATAGGATAAGGAATCGTTTAAGCCTAATGTTATTACTTTAGTTTCTATCCCTTTGAATGGAAATAAATGTATTGATTGATCCAATTTATTTGTGTAACTAGTGTGTACTGACAGTATAATTTTATATAATTAATTTACTTATAAATTTGGGAAATGTGAATTGCTAATATTACATATTACAAATATTTACATCATCATTTGTGGTTAGGGTTAGGGTTAGATACATACTCCAATAGCTTATGTATTGCATTTGAGTACACAGGTGCTACATATTGGATCACAATATTTTACTTATACATTTTGGAAATGTGGATTGCTAATATGTGATGGTGGAAAAATATTTACATCATAATTTATGGTTCAGCTGCTAGAGCAGACTGAAATATCCAAGGCTATTTTTAAATATCAAAGAATGTTTAATGTTAATAATATTTTACTGACATAATTTATGCATTTTAATGACTGTTGTTGCTAGCTGCTTAGGCGTCTATGATGAGATGTGTTAACTTACCTGCATTCATCCATATATATATATATATATTTTTTTAAGTTATTTCTATTTATTTATTTTTAATTTCGTAATGTTTTATTTAAGAGGCGGTAATTTCAATAAATCGTTAACTTACCTGCATTCATCCATATATATATATATTTTTTTTTAAAGTTATTTCTATTTATTTATTTTTAATTTCGTAATGTTTTATTTAAGAGGCGGTAATTTCAATAAATAGTAATAATTAATAGCAAGTAGGCTATTGCTTTGAAAATAACAGTCAAATCAAATCCATCACTTGGATTAAATGGATTCCTCCCTTCTGTTCCTTCTAATCACATCCTGTGCAAATTTCTGTACACTGTAATATTTTCTTCCACTATTATGCATGTCCCACCTGACCTGCCATTTCTTCATCATTTCATTTTTGATCATTGCCTTAATAAATTCTTTACCAAAGGGACTGTTTATAACATCCAGGATGTTTCGCACCAGCACTGCACATTATAGCTGTGTCTCATTTAGAAGGCTGCGCCCTCCGGAGGTCGCATTCGAAGGCTGCATACGTCATCGAGGCTGTCTCATTTCAGAAAAGCAAGTAGGACACTCCGAATGCGACCTTCTTTCACAGGAATTCGGAGGATTGCTATATATGAATCAGCAGGTGAATGTGCCAAGGAGACCAAAGGAAAGTTAGATGTAGACATGAAAGTAAATTGTTAAGACTGAAATGAAGTTAAAGGGTTAGTTCAACCAAAAATGAAAATTAGGTTGCGTTTTACCCACCCCCGAGGCATCCTAGGTGTATATGACTTTCTTCTTTCAGACGAATCCAGTCGGAGTTATATAAAAAATTGTCTTTGATCTTTCAAGCTGTTTAATGCCACTCAGCGGGTGTTGCATTGCTTCAGTCCAAAAGAACTTAAATAAAAATCGCCCAGCCATAAAACAAAATGTCTCACACGGCTCCGGGGGGTGAACAAAGGCCTTCTGTAGCGAATTGATGCTTTTTTGTAAGAAAAATATCCATATTCAAAATGTAATAATCATTTGAATCTAGCTTGCGCTCACTGTTATACACGGAAGCAGCTCCGGGGGAATGACGTATGAGGTCGGCTTTTTTTGGGTGACCCCATTTTTGGGTGAACTAACCCTTTAATAAAACAATGTGAAAAGTACATGGCAGAAACAATGAGAGGAAGAAAGAACAGGAAGATGGCTTTATAACATTCAAAGAAATGCTGGTAAAGGTAGAGTAACTAGGAGAAATAGAAAAGAAGATTCAATTATTTCTAGACTTGGATTTGAGCATATATTAATAGGCTACCTTTAAAAAAAATGGGGAAACATGAGACAGGAAAATGTGAACATTGTGTTCAAAAACTGTATCTTTATTACTAAAAAATATATAAATAAAATCTTCAGTAGATGATTAACAAAATAATCGTTACTGACAGTTCTAGTTAAAACATTTGAAAATTTTGCATTTGCATTTTGCATTGTTTTGCATTTCATTAAAATATTATTTTCATGTCATATATGTTGTGGTTGATTTCAGAAAATAATAGGCTATTCATATACTTTATGGTCACCTTCTCCTGAAAACAATATTGCGTATCGTCTGATGTTGTGAGCTAGTGTATTCACTCATTGTATGGTCAGCTGTGTTAATTAAAATTCTTACCAATAATTTATATACCTAAGACATCTAGGTGATAGATACATCATGCAGATGCGCTGGGACACATCATCAGTGATGTATCCTGGGGTCATTGGGTGTTTCGGGTCTTTCAACATCAGACACCCTCACCCAGGCGACCCAGCAGCGGTTGATCAGACCCCGGCCTGTGTCCCAGCAGCAACTGCCCACGGTTCTGCCCTCTTAATCCAAAGCCACCTAGTGGCTCTCTCTGCAGCTTCAGTCGCGGATCTAATCGCCTTTCTTTTCGCCTCCCCAGTGACACCTAGAAGCCTGAATGCTTTGCAGAGTGATCGCCCTGCAAAACCCCTGCAGCCCACCTCCAGAGGCTCACAACGAGTTTGCCAGCCCTGCCTCCTGCACTCTTCAACTAGCTCTTGGTATTTAGCACGCTTCCTCTCATTGGCCTCGTCCATACGCTCTTCCCAAGACACAGTTAGTTCCAGCAAGATCAATTGCTTAGTGGAATTTGAAACAATGATCATGTCTGGACGAAGCTGTGTGGATGTTATTCTGGTAGGGATCTTCAGTCGTTTATCAAGATCCACTTCCAGTTGCCAGTCAGTAGCAGTTGCGAGGAGACCGATCTTTACTCTCGGCTGTGGGTGGGCCTTCTCTCCAGCTCTGAGGAACTTGATGGTCTTTGGCTTATGGTGGTGGCCCTTAATGGCCTTGATGGCTGTGGCAATGCTCTCAGCAACTGCCTTAAGCACCTGGTCATGGTGCCAGCGATAGCGCCCTTCTCCAAGGGATTTTGGGCAGCTGCTAAGGAGATGTTTTAGTGATCCCCTTCCTGAACAGAGGGGGCAGGATGGTGTCTCACTTTTTCCCCAGACGTGGAGGTTTGCTGGACTTGGTAAGACATCGTAAACAGTTTGGACTAAGAACCTGATTCGATGGAAATCTTTCCAGATGTCAGCCCAAGTGATCTTACGTTGCTGAACGTTATCCCATTTAGTCCATGCTCCTTGCCTCTGCCACTTCCAATGATTTTTCTGCACTCCATTTTCTGCCTGTTCGCACCTGTATGCCAGCTGCTGCCACCTTTGGATCCCTGGACTCTCTATACTGCCATACTTCCCGTGTTCTTGCCACCATAAACTCTTCAATAAGGCTGCTAATCGCGTTGGAGGGCAAGCACAATAAGATTGTGAGGTATGGATCCATATGCATTCGCAAGGTCCAACCATAATACAGTAAAGTCTCCTTTTCCTTCTCGAGCCTCCCTGATGAGTTGTGTAATGACTCCCGTGTGTTCCAAACAGCCCGGCACTCCTGGAATTCCACCCTTTTGCACAGAAGTATCAATATAGTTGTTCTTAAAGAGAAATTCAGTTATTCGTCGTGACAGGATGCTGAAGAAAATCTTGCCTTCGACGCTTACCAGTGAGGTAACTCTGAACTGACTGATGTTTATTGAATTCTCTTCCTTGGGGATCCATACGCCTTCTGCATATCTCCACTGCTTGGCGATTCTTCCCTTGCGCCAGATCACCCTAAGACACTTCCACAGGTGCCGAAGGAGTTGCGGGCAGCGCTTGTACACAATGTATGGGACACCGCTAGGCCCTGGAATGGAGGCTGATCTGGCTTTTCTTACCACCTCCTGAACCTCTATCCAGCTGGGCTCTCTAATAACAAAGTTAAAGCTCAGAATGACATTCCAGAATATTATGTTTATAGATTATAATTAGGCCTAATGAATTTATGTGTTTATCTTTAAAGTTGTTGTTAATAACTGTGAAAATGACATGGTGTATAATTTACATATAGTTCTTAATCTCCAGGAGAAAGTGAGTGAATAATTTTTTTAAAAATTATTATGTTTGTAAACAGCACAGAGGTGACATTAATGACATAGGCTACAACTTTGTATACGATACACAATTTGTATTAAGGATATATTCAATGTCATAAGAACACAGGACAGTAAAAGAAAAAAGTTAACAATGATAAGAAAGATAAAGGAAAGAAAAGAAAAGCTAGAAAAAAAACATGAGGGTAATAATATTTTATTGTGGTGCTACGTACTTCTCAACGACCTTAGTGTCACGTGTCTATGGTGCGACGTACTTCTCGATGACGTTACTGTCACGTGTCTATGGTGCGACGTACTTCTTGACGATGTTAGTGTCACGTGTCTGTGGTGCAACGTACTTCTCGACGACGTTGTTGTCGCGCATCTGTGGTGGCGACGTACCCCTTCTCACGTAAAAGTACACGACTGTCGCCTTCGGTAGGTTATCCAAGGCATGATCAACTCGCTATACATTCAGAGACAGAGGCTGTGTGTGCGAACTTCTTTCAAATTAGAATCTGTTGGGGAGATAAAATGTGCAAGATAACGTTCATGTACTAATAAAAACATATCTTTTATTCTTCAGTACTGAAAGCAGAACCGATAAGGGAGCTCTTGGTATGTGTTGTGACACAGCTCTTGCAAATTAAAGTTACCTTTTTTGTTTGGTGTCTGTCATTTCGAAGGCTAAGTAATCTCATATTACATACGTTTTTCTTTATTATTAATTTGCCTAACTATCGATCTGACCCTGTAGACGCCATAATCACACACACTCTCTCTCTCCCGCTTTCTGTTTGTTTTTTTTAATGGTGGGTGTTTACGCAGTTGGTTAGAGCAGTGCTGATTGGGGAGAATGGAGGTGCGCTCACTCTATTGGTTAGTAAGACTGCCACACAAGGCTGGCAGTCATGCATATGCTCTGGAACAGAGTAATATCGTGTCCAAATCGCAGGCTCAAATCACGATTGCAATTCGATTTCGATTAATCGCACAGCCCTAGCCCTCACATTCTTACTGTCCTCAATTAAAGTTTGGATGCGTGTCTCTAATTCTGAAATCTTCTCTGTCAGCCTAACTATTTCCCTGCATTTATCACATGTGAATCCCTCGTCGCCACCAGAGAGAGCTAAACTATACAAAAACCAGCATATGCTGGTTAGGTATGTTTTCAAGCTGGGATGCTGGGTTTGAGCTGGTTTAAGCTGGTCATTTGCTGGTTTATGCTGGTTCTTTGCTGGTTTATGCTGGTCCTTTGCTGGTTTATGCTGGTCCTTTGCTGGTCATGTGCTGGTCCAACCAGCTTAAGACCAGCACTTGACCAGCATAAACCAGCAAAGGACCAGCTTAAACCAGCAAAGGACCAGCATAAACCAGCAATTGACCAGCATAAACCAGCAAAGGACCAGCATAAACCAGCAAAGGACCAGCATAAACCAGCAAAGGACAAAGCTTAAACCAGCTCAAACCAGCATCCCAGCTTCAAAACATACCTATCCAGCATATGCTGGTTTTTTCAACAGGGGCAAGCGGTGCAAACAACAATAGCAGGAGAAGAAGCCATTACTCACCGTGATTGAAGAATGATTCTGACTTACCACTGTTGTTTGATGAACTCGTGAAAAAACGGTGTGAGAGAGAAAAGAAATGGAGCGAGAGAAAAAAAGAAAACAGCAATAGATGCGAATGGAAACACAGATGACAAGCTAACCGCTAACGAATGCTAATGCACTGCACACGCGCTGCACGCTCTGTTTTAGAATAAAAGCGAACGATCAAATGAATCAGATTAGTTTGTTAGATAATATCAGAAATATGGTGGGAATTAAGTTATATTTTATCACTTTAAACAACAGAGAGTGATAGTAAGATAGAGATTCAACAGAAAAGCAAAGCTACACGGAGCTACAATCACAAACCACTCAGCAGCGCGGTACACAGGAAACGGAGTTCAACCTTATTCTTCAACTATGATTAAGTAGATAAGACTAAATTGCTACATTTGGCATACATTTGGCAATTAGTGAAAGCAGTTATTAAAAGAACATAAACATAAACTGATCTTCACTGGTGTTACCCATAAGGAAGGAAACACCAGTGACAGTAATACCAGTGACAATTTTCATGAAAAATGCATTTTACAAAATGTCTGCTGCAATGTATGTTGTCAATCATGGTATACTCACTAAATTAAGTAGTTTAATCCATTTGTATTCTAGTTTTTTACAATTCCCTAACAATAAAGTAGGTCATATCAGTGACTTCCACTAAAAGCTTTTTCCACTAAAAGTTTTTTGGCGCTTAACAATCTAAATGTATAGCGCCACCTAGTGATGTTACATATGACACTGAAACTTCAAAGCGCATATCGCAGGGGTGCCCAAACTCGATCCTGGAGGGCCGGTGTCCTGCAGAGTTTAGCTCCAACTTGCCTCAACACAACTGCTGGTAAGTTTCTAGTATGCCTATAAGTGCTTGATTAGCTGGTTCGGGTGTGTTTAATTGGGGTTGGAGCTAAACTCTGCAGGACACCGGCCCTCCAGGACCGAGTTTGGGC